ACCGCAGGAATACGAGCGAGCGCAACGCCAACCAGGGAGCCGCACAGAAGACGCAAAAATACGAACTGCTGACCCGGCGCCGCCTCGGGCGAAACACCGAAATACGTAGTCCGGTCCATTAGTCTCACCCATACCGAGTACCTGCGCCTTAACTCAGTCCGTGGCTGCCATTCGTCTTCCACACCCACAGCGCAGCCCAGCAGCAGCGCAACGCAGCACACTGCACTCGTTCCAACCTCGACAAGCTCCTCTCCCACCTGCGCCTCCTCGAATCGATTGCCATACGTCTGGCTCATCGCAATAGGGGCTCCAAGACAAGACATCACTGCCCCAAATTGTCTCTTCTGGTGTGGCCTGCAAATCCATCTGTCGCCCTTCGTCGACCGCCCGGCTTGCTCGTCGCCTACCCTTACCTACACGACCACGCAAACAACTACTGTCTGGTACGACCGCCCGCTGTCAAGCTCCACGAGCATTGCACTTGGCGGACGCGACTAGCTTGCCTCGTCCGCCTCCCTCTTGCCTCAAGTCACCGGGCGACCTGCGGTGCACGGAGGTTAGTGATCTTGTTTTTGCTCCTGCCGCTTCCTTTCCTCTGGCATCCCTCTCCATCTGGTCTTGTCTCGGTCGCATGCACGGCTGCGTGCACTGGAATGATCAGACGAATTGTCAACATACGCCGCCCGCAGCCAGAACCGCGCTCACAATTAAATCAGTCCTCAATCCAAGACCTCTGAAATTGCATCCGCATTCCGTCTCGTCGCACGCTGCCGTTTTCTCCCCTCCAACCCATCTTTTCAACGTCGAATCCGCTCCGCTTCCGTCCACCAACTCCATCCGGAGACGACGCTTGGCTTCCAACCCACGAGGGTTGCGGGACGTTTGCCATCTTTCCTTTACTCACTGAAACATGCCTCGATACGACTACGACGACGGCAGCGCCGAGCGCGAGCCTCTCGATAATTCCTACCGGCCTCATCCGCGCTCTCCTTACCCCCCGGAACAGTACCACGACCAGCAGCAACACTACTATAACGGCCCGCCCCCGAACTACCAGTCGCAACAGGACCTGAGGGCACAACAGTACCCAGGCGGCCACCCAGACTCCAACTTTGGTCGAATGAGAGAGGGACGTAGGAACGATCGCCAAGGCGTCCCCCAGGCCGCTGTAGGAGCTGTAGGAGGTGCAGCTGCTGGTGCCCACATGGCTTCACCACAGGTTCCAAACCACCGCGACTGGGCACCCGCCCAACAGAGTAATCTTAACCCAAATGTCACTCCTGGCGCCGACAACTTCAGCGAGAACGCGTCAGGGGGTATGTCGGGTATTGCTTACAGCGTCGCCGAGCGTAATGCGAGGGAAAGCGGCGCGGATGCTATACGAAATGTCGGGCAAGCACAGCCTCCACGAGGCCAGTACCCCAACGCTCCTCCGTCAGCTTATAACCAACCACGCGGCGACGCCTATGAAATGAGCAACGCTCCTCGCCCGTACGCCCACAGCGACCGCACATCTCACTCCAGCCTGACTGCCCTTGGCGCTTCCGCAGCATCACCCTCAAGATTATCGCCGTCATCAACACCCTACGGCTACGACTACTACAACGACCATCCTTACTACCAGAGGAACGCAGACCACCTCGGCGTTGTTGACCCCAACTCAATAGCAGACGACGGTGACGACGGCTTGGAATACGGCCGTAGTCGCAGCGGACGCAACTCAATGCTCAGCCTTTCGAACAACAGCGAACGCACAGGCAACAGCCGGGCGGGAGCGGCAGCAGCGGCAGGCGCCGGTGCAGGTGCTGCAACCGCTCTCATGGCTGGTGCCGGCAGGACAGGAAATGCCAACGGGTACTATGACCCCGTCAAGGGCTCTCCGATGGGCAGTAACAATAACCTTGGCGGCGAGAAGTCGCAATCGGAGTGGGTCAAGTCAAACAACAGTCACAGGAAGAGGTGGAAGTGGTGCATCATCATTGTGGTCATTCTTGTCATTGCTGGTGCCATCGCCGGTGGCACGGCTGGTTGGCTACTGTCCAGGAACAATCGGAACAGCGACAGCAGCAGTAACGGACAGTCGGCATCCGACGACACCAACTCCAACGGCGACCTGAGCATCAGCAGCAAAGAGATCCAGGCTCTTATGAACAACAAGAACTTGCACAAGGTCTTCCCCGGCATGGACTACACCCCGATTAACACCCAGTACCCGGATTGCCTCCACAACCCCCCTTCGCAGAACAATGTCACACGCGACGTCGCAGTCCTCAGCCAGTTGACCAACACGATTCGCCTGTACGGAACCGATTGCAACCAGACCCAGATGCTCATCCACTCGATCAAGCAGTTGAAGATGGAGGACACGATCAAGATCTGGATGGGTGTATGGCAGGATGGAAACGACACGACCAACGCCCGCCAACTGTCGCAAATGTGGGACATTCTCGACGAGTATGGCGACAAGCATTTCGAGGGCGTCATTGTCGCCAACGAGATCCTGTTCAGAAAGGAAATGACGGAATCGGCCTTGGGAACTCTGCTTAGCGAAGTGCGGACCAACCTGACCGCCAAGAGCTTGAGCCTGCCGGTTGCCACATCTGACCTGGGTGACGATTGGACATCGTCATTGGCATCCAAGAGCGACTACATTATGGCCAATATTCACCCCTTCTTCGCCGGAGTGAATGCCAAGGACGCCGCCATGTGGACATATGCCTTCTGGGAGAACCAGGCTAGCGGCTTCTTCAAGTCGGACACGAAGAAGAACGTCATCGCCGAGGTAGGCTGGCCTAGCAAGGGCGGCACGAACTGCGGCAATGGCCAAGCTACAGGCTGCCCTGACGCGTCAGTCGCCGGCGTTGATGAGATGAACGAGTTGCTTGACAAGTGGGTGTGCCCTGCCTTGACCAACGGCACCAACTACTTCTGGTTCTCCGCCTTTGACGAGCCATGGAAGATCAAGTTCAACGAGAAGAACAAGGAGTGGGAGGACCAGTGGGGTCTCATGGATGTCGACCGCAACCTCAAGCCGGGTGTCATCATCCCCGACTGCGGCGGCAAGACCGTTTAGACGAAAAGTCAGTCACGAAGTTTTGATTTATGGGTTGGACGAGACAAGCGGGCCTGCCTCTCGTTCGCTGCTTGGCAATACGCAGCGATGTACATGACGGAGTAATCATGGAGTTAGGGTTAAAGCATGCCTGGCTTGAACGCCAGGGCAGCATGTATGATGTGTGATACCGTAAATAGTCACCTTCCGGTAATGGTTCGGATGGCTTCCAGTGTGTCGTTAGTATTTGACCGACCAAATAGATTAGTTTCATCATTAAGATTTTGTCTCATGTCCATTGTACATCCCCACGTGCCGTAATCATCTCACTGCAGCTCATACACGTACAGCACACTCTCTCCCTCCTCCGGCGCAAAGTACAACCTCACCCGCCCGTCGACAAGAGCCACGTCCATCGGGTTCTTGGTCATCAAAACCCCCTGCGCCTCCGTCCTCTCTATGAACGGCACCTCCCACAGAGGCACCATGGTCTCCGTGTCCACGATGGCCAGCCCGCCGACCTCGACGCCGCCCGCCAGCGTCGCAATACCCGAGCAGAGCATCACCTCATGTTTCCCGTCGTCGCCCAGGTACCTGCAGTCCTGGTAATCGATCCAGTGCGACGGGTTGACAATCTCCTTGGAGGGATGGACAGCAGCGGCGGCGGTCGGGGTGACGAGGGGATGTTGCTTGCCCTCCTGCTGCTGGTACACCACGCTCTCCGCGGAGACTGATACGTCCCATGTCGAAGCCTTGCGTCCGCCCCAGTTTAGGGTCGTGAGGGTGCCGATGCCGTTGTGCACGATGCCGCCCTGGTGGTCGCCCACGCCGAACATCCTTTCCAGCTCCAACTTGGCGGGGTCGATGCGGACGACGGTGCCGGTGGAGTTGGGCCGGTACTGCGAGAGGGTTGCCCAGATGTGGGTGCCGTCGTAGTCTATTCCGCCGTTGTGATACTATACGCGTCAGTGCCCCTTCAGCGTGATCTGGCGGGGGAGGGTGTACCTCGATGTCGCCCTCTTTGGTCACGACCCAATCGCCCAGCCTCTTCCCCCGCCCGTCGAAGACCACGAAATGCGCGAAGCCTGCGCCGGGGGTGCGGTCCGTGCCGTCGCGCCACTCGCCGTTGGGGTATTTGGAGGTCGGGGCGGTGTATTTCCCCGCGGAGACCCAGAAGCGCTCTTCGTCGGAGGAGGATGTGGGGGACGCGAGGCGGACGATGCCTTCTGGTTCCCAGAGGGGGCCTTCCAGGGGTATCTTTTTGATGAGCTTGAGGCGGGATAGGTTGGAGCGTGAGAGGGTTTTGAGAGCGGCGATGATGTGGCTGTCGTCTTCGGGGTTGCGGTCGGGGAGCGGGGAGGGGGCGAGGGGGGTGGCTGGAGAGGGACGGGTGATGTTGGGCATGGTGAGGGCGTGGGATGTGGATTGTACGGGGAGGAGGAGGGTGAGGGCTAGGAGGGGGGTGAGGTTCATGACAGATGGGTGAGTTGGTGGGGGCTGACTTCTTTCAGAGTTTTCTGGGTTGTGGGCAGTCTGGCGAAGAGTTCAGATTCGTTGCTGGGATTGGGATGTGAGAAGGGGATATTAGGTGTCGTTGAATGGTCGCGGGCGGTTGAGCGTGAGTGTTCCGGACGGGCCGGGCAGGTGGTGTTCGGACGACGTTTGGGCCGCGTTCCCCGCGCCGTAGCGCGGCCTGGTTCGTCTGTGGACCCCACCAATGACAGATGCCGAGAACCAAGTGCGTCAATCTCATGAATATAGAGCAACGTCTTACTTGCAACGCTGGTGAGATGTCCTTCATATACCACCGACTGCTCTAGACTACAGTACAAAGTATATTCGCTTGAGCTTTGCTGGTGAGTGTCAATGATGTCAAGCAGACGGCTATATATGCTCCAGGCAGCAAGAGAACCAGCTTTGCAGCGCATAACTTGCGATTGGGTCCGTTCTAGATCAGCTGGATACGATCGAAAGCCCCCCCGTCAAGGTTTGTGAGCCCATCTTCACACTTACTCACTGGCCCAATCACTTCAAACTGATCGCTAGCATTTATCCTGCGAATAATGAACGGTTCCCTCACCGACGTGACACATATGACGTCCCCAGATTGGCATGGTACGTCGTTACTACATCTCCCAATATAGCCCTCTTTGGTGGAAATGGAAAGAAATTGTTCGAGCACTGCGTGCAACTTCGTTAGTCGCTCATTGCCTAGCCACTCTGCGCCATCAAACTCAGCCTCGCGGACCTTGACAAGGGTTTTGAAATCGTCAATCGACAACACGGCTGACCAAAGGTATTTAGAATCCACAGATCGACGAGACGACAATGGTCTAATGATCATGTCTTCGATTTCTTTGATGCGTTCGATGACTGCCATTTTCCTGTCCTCAAATGTAGCCATGTGTGTAAATGACTTGTCAGGAGCAACAATCTCACAGGAGTCGATTATATTTGTAGTGACGGTGAGCACCTTACCATCGTCTGAAAGCTCCGGCGGTTGATCCGAGAACTGGCCGAGTCGGGATGAAGATGAGCTCAAATAGAATTTTGACACCCAGGTAGGGGCTTCGGGCACTCGGTGCCCATAGGACGCGCCTCGTATGAACTTATAGTCGCCGGTGTATTGAATAATGAGCTTGGTGATATCGGAGAAAACCTGTCCAGAGGGGCGGCTGTAATCCACAAGAGGGAGCCGCAATTCAGGAAACCGAGTATTCAAAACTTGCAGTAGACCGTAGAGCCCGTAGATACGGTCTTGAAGAATGGAAGACCTTTTCCGGCTGGTAAGGTTCAAAAGTATTATAAGCATTGAACCGGCATTTTCATCCTTCAGATCCCGGGACAAATGCGATTTCTGCGCCCATGATCTCATTTTCACTAAGTTATCCCATGCAAGCCCTGGGCCAAAGTACTTCATTCCTGTCGCGAGTCCATCGATCCAGTCAAGTGTCGCAGTGCAGACGAATCCATCAAAGGCGTGGGCAAAGATGGGGGATCTCTTTGTGAGCACAGCCTCCTGCACAGTCCAGATTCGAGAAAACCAAGGATGCCATTCAAACATTCTGAATAAATAATCGAATTCCGCTTTTGCATCTTCGGCGGTGGTGACTTCACTTTTGCCCAAGTCAGGCCACGATGGCCTTGTGTTTGCTTGATGGTGAAAGAATCCCTTATGTAAATCGGTTTGATTAAACCGCCACATGATGCAGGAAGACAACCAGATAATGACCCGTTCCGCTGCAGCATAGATGTGTCCTATGCGTGGGATCTGTCGGTTCTTCTCCTTCTCGTCGTGCTGATTGATACAAATGGCATCAACCCAGATAAGAAACGGTGGCGAGAGGATATTGTCGGAGGGCATATCTCGGAATGCGATTAATGCGTCATACAGACTGACTGTGACCGGAAATAACGTTCCGTTGACTTTTATCAATCGCATATCTTTTGAGTCACCCCACACGTAGGACAGTGCATGGTATCGTGGGTCTTCGCTGAGGTAGACGGTGCGAAGCTGGCATTTTACCCTGCCCACGCCAGGCGTGATGCGCAAAAGACGGATCTGAGTCCCCCAAAGAGAATTATAAGAAATCTTGGCAACGGGCTTTATAGCACCCTGTCGTGGACTGCGACGTCTGTGCCGATAGGCGATGTTCCGCGCCGCGGCTCCATGCTTCCTGCGCATATTGTCGATGAAAGAGAAATCGTGGAGGCGAAGGAATGAAATGATGACTTGTCAGAACACGCGCAGCGGGGTTGCTCAGAAGGGGGGTTTCCCACTTATATATGTGCGCAGTCAGCCAAGATCAGGCTGCGCTGCACACCAGGGCTGACTTCATTGGCTTGACTGCGCCGTACGAAGCCATGTTTGCATAGCCACATGTGACTCGCTGCGGTCGTAGGCCAGTATGCACACACAATCACGGAACATCTCAACTGATTAGGGTTTAAATAGGATAGAAATCATTAGACCGAAAGGCACATTTTGACCACATCTTCCACTTCGTGAGCAAGCAGCGGCAAATGTGAACGACAACGTTGACAATTATGACGCACCTTTTTTCAAAATCAAAAAAGAAAACAAAAAAGGCAAAAACTTTCCTGAGCCTCGAGGAAAACAGCCTGAAAAGTGAAATTCAACCCAAAACTGAATTTCAAAACATATAAAATAGTGACAAAGAAAGAGCCTACCACGTAAAACCAGGCCAGTTGGTCTTTTGGCGGGAGCTCTTCATTGAACGCCGGCAGCCTTCACACCACCTGTTTTTAGCAGGAAGATATTTCAGTGCATTATGGTTGTGGGTGTAGTCATTGGAAATGTAGCCTGAATTATCTCAGGTTGTAACTGTCGCGGGTTCCGTGGATTCCAGTGTCGCTGAAGCTGCACAACCAGATCTGCTTCAATCAGTATGTCAATCCAAATCCCACCCCTGCATCCAAGACTTCCCGTTCGCGTCGAATCCAACCCTTAGTACGTAGTCTGTGTAATACCTTGGCCAGTGTCCAGCTGATCCACGATGGCTTGAAGCCCTTCGCTGTAACCCTCGGCAGTCTGGGCCAGACCAGTCCCACTGCTAATTTGCTGAACTGGGGCCACTCTCGAGGATCCTTGTCTGCCAGATCGCTTGGCAAAGCTTGATTGCATCTCCTCTCGTTCGTACCCCATCTTGGAGACGTTCCCAGATCCCACTATCTGGCCTTGTCCATTTTCGATCGCGTAGATAGAGCTCCAAACCAGTGGCCCGAGTCAGACCTGACTAGCGGTGGACATTGACCCCAGACGGCACGAGTCTTCAGCGTGGGGAAGATGCCGAATCGAACAATATTGCTCCAAGAGACGTGATAGCCCTGACTCGGAAGCACATCTCGAAAATTCGTTCTTCCTTTTTGAGCATTGGGTCCACGAAAGTCGGTGCAAGGGAGCGCCCTATTGGAGGACTGAGAGGCCGAAACCACGGAGCAATCCGGATGGGACTTTCGCAGAGAGTCATATCTTCTGCCATTAATACAGAGAAGAGTCGTCTAATAGATTGGTCCTGAATTAGGCTTCATTTTTAAGTTTATTGGTACTGCATTCACCCTCGCAACTTGACCTTCTGCCAAGGATCTCATGGCATCGGACTTTGGGAAGACGTCCCTGCCTGGTGACGTTATTAACAACGTTCTCAGCTTTTGCGCCAGGCAAAACGTCAGCGAAGAAACATTCTTCATCGCCGCATGGTCTTACACTATCGCCGTCTACAATGCCTCTTCACTTGCCACAACAAGTGTAATCAGAGGTGGCAAGAAGAACGAGGTTGCAATAGAGTTTGACTCAAGAATGACAATCTTGGAAACGTGCTCAGCTTTGCACTACACAAAGATATGCTCGGGCACAGATTCCGAGCACTCTCCTCGCAGTTCCACGCCAGGAGCCGAACTTCACGACGACCCAACAACGATTCTGTTTGCTCAAAATGGTACTTTCGACCTCGGTTCAGACATTGGCGAACAAGGAATTTTACCCAATATTGTGATTGATGGTCAATACCGCATCGATCTACACTGTATGTCAACCTGCTCGCAGTTCCTTGGCGACGCGCACTCGGGGATGCCCAACCAAATATCAGGTTGAACAGCTATTAACGATCCCAAGGCATCCCTCATTCTGTATCTGCTCTGTCAGCCCATGCGTTCCTGGAAACTTTCACTACCATCATTGGACAGTTCGCAACCCTGCCTCACGACAGATTACTCGGCGAAGTCAACGTACTCGGCCCCTTGAACCGCGAAAGACTTCAAAGCTGGAGCCCTCGCTACATCCCAGCTGTCGAGCGTTGTGTTCATGACTATGTCGACGAGCATGCCAGCGACACTCCTTGGAAGGAGGCTGTGGTTGCTACTGAGGGCCCCAACTTCACATATTCCCAGCTCTCGAGACTCTCCAGCAGGTTGGCGAAAAACCTCATAAACAATGGTATCACGAAAGGGGACATTGTTCCGATTCTGTTCGAGAAGTCTTCCTTTGCAGTTTTGGCCATCGTCGCTATCCTTAAAGCGGGAGGTGCCTATGTTGGGTTCAGCGCCGAGACACCCATCAACTTTCTGCGAGAATGTTCATCCATTGCGAACGCGCCGCTAATTATCACGAGTAATCATCATGAGGACCTCGTTCGGAAGGTCAGCTCCCGGGCGTTAGTACTGGACCAAGCATTCGTTGAGGGCCTGGAGAACTCAGCAGATGAAGAGGGCTTCTCATCTCCCGCTCGTCCCTCAGACCTGGCCTATCTGGTGTTTACATCAGGATCTACCGGTACTCCCAAGGTATGATACATCATCATTCCGTGCGAGAGTTTCTGCTAATGCCTCAGCCAAAAGGCCGTTATGACGGAACACAGAGCCTACGTCACAGACGCCCTCGCACAACAAAAAGCTGCTCTACTCACTCCTTCCTCCCGTGTGCTTCACTTCGCCTCATACAATTTCGACGCCACCAACTTCGATGTGCTCACCACTCTCATTGCTGGCGGCACAATTTGCGTTCCTGCCGAGTTCGATCGCATCAACCGCCTCGCCGGGGCCATCAACGACCTTGGCGCCAACTTTCTCGGCGTCACAGCCACCCTCGCACAGATTCTCGACCCAGAAGATGTGCCCGGGTTGAAAACCGTGATTCTATGCGGCGAAGCCAACAGTCCCGAAATCGTCGACAAGTGGACTCGGTCTGGAGCCGATGTCATCAATGGCTACGGACCTTCAGAGGCGTCATGCGCATTCTCGTACAACATCTATACTCGTCAATCGCCTAGGGCGAACAATATTGGACGGGCACTCGAGGGAGCTTGTTGGGGGTGGGTTGTGAACCCAGAGAACCACAATCAGCTACTGCCTATTGGGGCAAAGGGCGAGCTACTGATTCAAGGACCAACGCTGAGCAGGGGATATCTGAATGAGCCAGAGAAGACCGCAAAGGTGTTCATTGAAAGCCCTGAGTGGCTACCAGGGAAAGTCGCCATCGGCATGCAAAGGATTTACAAGACAGGAGACCTTGTGCGACAACTCCCAGATCAGTCTTTCGAGGTGTATGGGCGTATCGACACGCAAGTCAAGCTAAACGGCCAACGCATTGAGCTTGGCGAGATAGAGCACAAGGTGAGGTGAGTAGTAGGCGTCAGAAATGCTGCTTCCACGTTCTCAACCTTAGGGGGAAAAATGATGTCAAAGGGTTAACCGGCGTCTTAGTCTACTGCTTGGGGGAGAATTTACAGTCGCGGTGGAGGCAGTACATTTGACCCGCGGAGAAGAGCCTGCCTCAAAAGTTCTGATCGCATTCTACGCAACGAACGTAGGAGGTAACGGAAAGGATGCTGCGCCGCTGGACATTGTCAACGATAGTAAGTCTGAGCTCATTGACGTCCAAAGCATCAAGAAGAAGCTTGCAAACGGCCTCAAAGCCATTGCTATTCCCCAAGCTTTCATCCCACTTCTAAGGATGCCGGTCACTAGTCAAGGCAAACTAGACCGACAGCGTCTGCAGAAGATTGGCAGTCAACTCGATAAGCTTAGGTTGGCTGCGTTCTCTGGAGTCACCGTATCTGTCAAGGATGAGCCTGCGATGAACGAGTTTGAGGCAATCGTCTGCGAGCTGTTCGCACGGTCACTCAACTTGAGCAAAGGTGAAATTGGTCGTCAGTCAGATTTCTTTTCCATGGGTGGCGATTCCCTTAAAGCCATAAAATTGGTATCTCTGGCCAGGAAGCTGGGTTTCAGTCTCTCTGTACCGGTCAGTGACAATACTCTTCCGCGCACATTGAAGGCAGGATGGTAACTAATATACCATACCTAACTCACAGGACATCCTTCAAAAATCAAGGCTGTTCCAACTCGCCGAGTTCCTGCGCAAGTCCGCTCAGACTAATGAGTCAAGGAGCTCGTATCAGCCATTCATCAATATTGCAAACCACATCACACTCGACGAAATCCAAGAGAGCGCTAGAAACGCGTCTGCCTCACACGAAATTGAAGACATGGTCCAGGCCACGGATCTTCAAGCGAGCTGCGTCGCGTTCTCTACTTTTAGTGAAGAGCGCCGCGGAATCAACTGGCTCATATGCGACTTTGACGAGCCTCATGACGAGACAGCAGTTCATCGGATGTGTCAAACATTGACAGAAAGACGTGAGTGCATCTGCGAAGAAACCCACCATCTCAACTGTGTGAAAGCGAGCTAATAGAGTCAGACTCCACTCTAAGAACCTTCTTTGTGCCACACAAGCGAGCGCTGTATCAAGCTGTATCGAAGTGTTTTCGTCCTCCAACGAGAACTCATCTGAACCTTGACAGCATTGAGTATGCCACCAATGCACTCATTGAGACCGATTTCAAGGACAGACACGTGGATATGACTTGTCCTCAGACAGCCTTTGAACTACTCTCCAGCCACGACGCCACCAAGATCCAGCGTCTGCTCATCCGCATTTCTGCAGCTCAATACGATGGCCACTCTGTGTCAATCTTGAGTCGCGAAATAAGGGATCTCCTCAACGGATGCCAGCTTCCTGAGCTCAAAGGAAGCTATCAAGCATACCTTCATTATGCTCGGACAAACGAGTTGGACGAAGGCATTGAATACTGGACATCACTTCTTCATGGCGCGAAAATGACCCAACTTGTCAATCAGAAGGGTTCCACTCATGACGTCCCATCAGGTCTGAACTTTGTGGATGGTGTGCTCGTGAGCATGATTGACAGTCAGTTGCTTGAGTCTTGTTGCACTGGCGACAGAAGCAGCAACACCTTCGGCGGCAACACCAAAGGTGCAATTGTCAAAACGGCCTGGGCGCTCACTCTTTCTGAGCTGACTGGTAAAGACGATGTTGTTTTCGGCTCCACAGGCTGGGGCCGCAATCACTCCGTTGAGTTCGCAGAGGATGTGATGGGTTCATGCACTTCGCACATCCCCACACGCCTACGAATCACCACTTCAGCCACTGGCAATAGTCCCAGAGTCACATACGGAGATCTGGTCGAGCAACTACAGACGCAGCACATAGCTTCCATGCGATACGAGAACATCGGGGCGAATACGATAGTTGAGAAGTGCACGGCCTGGAAGCGGTGGACGCGGTTTTCGTCGCTGCTGGTTTTCCAGGGGTTAGACATCGGAACTCCGCAGAATTGCAGTGAAGATGGTGGAGTTGCTCCGACAATGAGGTTCACGGAGATCATGGACCCGGGCGATCGAGCGGACGTGATCGTTCACGTAGAGCCTTTCGGAGACCAGACGCGAGTCATGATGGCTTTTGCAAAGGCGCGTCTGCCCGAAGACATTGCTGGCGTGATGATGCCGACATTCAAACGGTACTTGAAGCTGATTACTCAGTTTCCCGATCAGCCTGTTCCCTTGGGGGAGGGCGACCTATTTCCGTTGTTGCCAGTTGTCTGTGAGAGCGCCACGATCACGCGCATTAAGGATGTTTTAGTCAACTCGCGGGCTGAAAATACTGTCAAACAGGTTTGGATGAAGGTTCTTGATGTGAATGATGGCGAGTTCGGCATGTTGAGGGAGGGTAGCAGGTCGTTCCTTGAGATCTGGGGCAATTCAGTGTCAGCGGCGGCCCTTGCTTATGAGTACAGGTCACGGGGCTTCACAGTTTCCACGGAGGACATGTTGCGGCATCAGATGGCATTTGAGCAAATGCAGATGATTTCAATGATGATTGACGGAAAGCAACAGTAATCAATAAACCGCAGTTTCGCGCGCAAGAGGCTATTCTTAGCACAATAGATATGATTGGCTGCTCTACAGTTCTTGGATTGCGTTTGAAGTTGACCAGTTGCTAATTTTCACCAAAGTCAGTTTGAATGCCCAGGCGAAAAAAGTTCTCAACGCTGAACTTTATTGCGGCCGTGTAAAGGGCTGACTGACGTATCGATCAAGGATCCACCCGGTACGGGTCGCGAACTCCGAAGTGCGGCCCCACTTCAGGCCGTTCGCGGTAATTTGAACAGAGAAAAGAGCGATTCTTGCCTCGCCCCAAAATGCCCCGTCTGAACGGGATGCAGGGTCTTTGCAACTCAGATAAGGTTCTCTTGAGAACGCTCAACTCCGTGCCGGGGTGGACCACTCAAGATGTTGCAAAGTGCCGATTTTATGGTACCGTTCCTTTTTTCAGCTCACAGCAAATGGGCTCGTATTGGACCTCACTAGCCCATGCAGGGACAAGAGCACAAGAAGTTTTTGGCACTAATGCTGGGCGCAGCCGAAAAGAAAAATCGCCAAGCGACTGGTTCAGATGTCAGAGTAAGAAAAGTTACCCCCTTCAACGGATCATCTTCGTCCGGGTGCCAAGCAGTGTTGCGATGTGTGGCGTAGGCACATGGTCTCTGCTTACCCTTTTATTTTCTTTTGATCAACTGCATGAGGGAGGGCAGGCTCAGAAAGAGCAGTTTGATTGGCCTCGAGGTGTATTTAATTGAACAGAAAGAGAAGGACGCGAGGGATGGGATGCCCTGCGGTTGATATTACTGTGGTGTTATCCAGAAACATGCATGTCTCGTTCGGCTGCAGTAGATTGGCTGCCGATCTGGGTGTCGTTGAGACCAGGATGATCAGTGACAAGCATTATTAGAGTAAAACCAAGTTCAAGGATTGTAACGTGCGTACAGGCATAGATGCCGACTGACAGCCTTAGCAGAACCAGGAACACGGTGTCATCCGTCCATCGAATGAACCCATCCGTGCCATCCCCAGCCTAGCGTCCACTCTACCACCAGCCAGTACGAAGGTTCGTCGAATAACCCACGCACATGGGGTGATTGAGACTAGCCTGCCCTATCCGTCATGTCCCAGAATAATGTCTCCGGTGCCCAGGGAGGGAGAACTTCCCGTGCAAGGCAATCCCGCCCTGCCAGCCGCTCCATGTTGTGCCTGATGGGCGTCCGTGTTCTGGCCCCAAATTGGCTTACGGAGCTGACGGATGTCTTAAGTGCCCACACTGATCTTCCAATCGAGGGATGACCCGCCCTGTACGGGCGTGAGAAGCCTCTCATCCCTCCCTTTGCGGCTAGTCTTGCCAATTCGCCGCTTGCGAAATGTTCTCTGCCAGCGCTGTCTCGAGTCGTGTATTGTCTTGCGTGATACAATATGTACTGAGTCTGCCCCTCGGCAGCGCCCCCAAGGCTTCTCTCCTGTCCTGCTCGTCGTCCTGCTTGCTCTTTCTCCCAAGTCAGCCGCCTCGAAGATGACGATGTACATGAGCGAGAAGCCTGAGCTGGCGGTCCGCAGGCCGCTGCGGGAGCGGTTCCTCCACCAGATCTCCCGACTCCGATACCGAACATGCGCACTCACGGGCCTCATCCTCATCCTCATCTCGACGTTTTGGTTGTACGGCAACAGCGGACCGAACGGCCTCAGATTTCCATTCAGCACCGATATGTTCTCCGGGGAGCACACAACATGGATTGACAACTCAACGCGATCTGACTGGGTCAAGCCGCGCCCTGGCCATATCATCCCGCCCAAGATCTGGCAGATTATGCTTCCGAAGAACTGGAAAGACAAATACCCTGTCAACAACCCCGACAAGCTGAAGGAAACAGCGTCATGGTTGGCCATGAACACCGACTACGCCTAGTAAGTAACCTCCAGCCTTTTCTCTCTGCAGCTTTCGGAATGGATTGTTCCTTGCAGACCTTTCCGTGGTCCTTGGTACCTTCCAGGATAGCGGGACGGAATGTCGTTTCTTTGTCCAAACATCACCGACGTCATCAACTCTATTATTAGAGGACAACAAATCTTTTCTATGCCGCAATGAGACATAGAGCTAACCTCGCATTGTGTAGTACCCTAGTTGGCGGAAAGGGCGGCAGAGAATTCGTCGAGCGCCGCTTCGGAAATCACTCGAAGATCCTGCAAACGTACATCAACATGCCTAACGTCGGGATGAAGTCCGATATGCTTCGATACCTGCTCCTCGACGTCGAGGGCGGGGTCTACACCGATACCGATACCCTCGCCCTCAAGCCTGTCGACACATGGGTTCCGCGGAACATGAGAAATGCAACCCGGCTGATTGTCGGTATCGAGTTTGACCAGCGCGATGGCCCTGCCTGGGCTGATATTCCACATGCGCTTCAGTTCTGTCAATGGACGATTGCGGCAGCTCCTGGGCATCCCGTTTTTAAGAAGATGACGAACAGGGTGGTTGCTTCTGTTGAGGATCTGGTTCGGCAGCATGGTGTCAAGGAAAGCCAGCTGAAGCCGACCAGCTTCGAAGTCATGAACTCGACTGGACCTGCGGCTTGGACGGACGTGGTGTTTGAGCACTTGCAGACCATCGAACCTAGCCTGACCGACATTCGAAACCTATCATACATGACAAAGCCGACGTTATACGGCGATGTCTTGGTCCTTCCTATCGACGGATTCGGGATGGGACAACTGCATTCTGACAGTACACACGACGGAACCATTCCTGATGATGCCTTCGTTCAACACTTGTTCGGTGGTTCTTGGAGAGATCAGTGACAACTGATCCGCACGTTAATGGAAAGGCGGCGTTTATTTTGGGAAAGGCGATCGGCGCTGGTTTTCTTCACGAACTTCTCATTGTTAATGGTCTTCTAAGATCGACTTTATGGATACCCACGATGATAGCTATAACATAATTCCTTCACCTGCATACGATTCATGGCTCGAAAGCTTACTTTGGAGCCAAGTGCTCGCCACGCTGTCGGTGGAACATGAAGCAAAGGCCAAGTGCATCAAAACGGTAGCGACACCCTGACTGTACCGGAAGGATTGATTGCCACCTCCACACTATATCAGCATGCTGTAGATCCTGTACGGCCCCTTTGACTCGCAGGTGCTGCCTTGGTAAGGGGTCCTCCGAAAACCTGTGGCACGAGCCGGACACGTACTTGTTGTAGCACGAAATGACACAGCCGAACAGGACTAGAGCGCTGCCATCTTGATCGGGCGAAACAATGCCACTCATCATTTGCCATTGTGTCACGGGTAGATGATACGGCCAATGGTCAACCTCCTCATGTCTTGAAGTTGTTTTCCGAGCCAGATTCAGCTGTCTCCATGCTGGGAAAACATCCACCCTGGCTGGCTGCGGGAAATCCTGCATCAGGAGCTTCGCCGTAGTGCACAGAGGACCGCAATATGTTGAGTATCGGGATTGACTTTTGACTACCAGGCAAGGTCGCTCTCAATTGCAGCTTCGCAGTCGCATTCGCTTCTACAACACGGTTACACTGGAACGTACATTGACTGTAGCAAGTGTATAGTGCTTCTTACATCAGGAGCTAGCGCTCAAGCAGTGTCCGCAGATTGCATCAATCTGATCTAGCATATGTACTGGGCCAACCATGAATATGAGATTATGAACCCGTAGTCTGATAATCTGATAATGAATTCTGTGGAAGTACATTGAGTACCTTGAGAACCTCGAAATTGCTTCCGAACCAGTCAATCATGCACAGAATGACATTCTGCATAGACCTCCAAACCCCTTTCAATTTTGATCTTGGGCCTGCTCGCAAGAAGAACCAGATGCAGAAAAATCTCACACAGGCTCGTGACCCGTCGTTCTCAATCGCTTGTGGTTGTGGTTAGATAGTTGAGTTACAGGTATGCGGGGAAGAAACACCCAAGAAAGTCAACGAGTGCGTATGGGCATTCAGTCTCGCTGACATCCAGGTCAAGCAGGCTCCAACCCCAAGACGCTGTCAACATCCACATTCTGTAACACAAGAGGAATCCTTGCCCAACAATGACGGGAAGATCTTTAGTCGTGGCATCCTGCTTTAGACCGACTGCTCACATCACGATAGTAGATTGAACTCCCGGGCAACTACGGTGCCCGAAAGGATTGAAGGATTTCCACTGTAGCATGACTACTGGTTAGAATAGGGTGGTAATGCATTACAATAGTGACACTACGTTATCTAGACGAGAGCTATCTAAACGGACAGAACATCTTGTAAGTTGGCCTGACAATACAGACTTCAACTTCCACGCGAGAGGTAGTATATATATGTCACTTCAGTCGTCCTTACTGCGCCCTCTCCCTCTAGTCGTCGCCTCAGTAGTCTTGAGCCTTTACCATAATTGAATCCATAAGAGAAAAGACCTAATTAAATCCTTGGACCATCATCTTTCGACCCCTACGGCAACTTTTCATCATGAAGTTCTCCAACACCCTTCAAGCTTTCACCCTTGCCATTGCTGGCCTTGCCCAGGCACTTCCCTATGGCTGGTACGAAGGAACCACGCTTTCGAATGGCACCATGGAAGCCAAGCCTCTCGGTGCCAGCGACACCAAGCTCTTCACCATCGAGCCATCCGCGGACTGGGAGAACTCCGTCAGCGAGCGAAGCGTCGATGGTGGTGAACCTGTCTCTCGTCTTGGTAGACGGTCCACCTCCTGCTGGGGCTCAGCTCTGGACCGAGCCGGCACCGATGCCGCCGTCTCGGCTTGGAAGAACAAGGTCGGACCAACTGGAGCCTTTGCTCTCCGTTCCGGCAGCAATCTAAAGGCTATCTGGTTCATTCGAAGCAGCATCTCTGCAAGTACAATCAGATTAATAAACTATTTAACCTAAGTAGTTAAAGTAAGGCTATCTCTATCCCTTAAGTAGTTAATTTAACCCCCTCTAATTAAATTAACTAACTTAATATCTTATAATCTAGCTAATAAGAGGCTATAGATTAGTTAGAGCTCTATTTATTTAAGTATACTTAGTTATTAAAATATACTATTATTACTAACCCTTTAATTACTATATATTCTAATAAAACTTTTTAGAATACTTTTATAATATTAATTAGTAATTAATTTTTTTTAAAATCTCTAGAGGGATAGAAGTAATTATAGTAAATTAAATAGTATAAGTATTATTAAGATTAAACGCTATTTATAAAAGATATTTAGTATTTTATTTTATTCTTATTATTTATATATATTATTACTTTTATTATCCTTAAACTAAAGATATTTATTACTATTACTATTTTATTATTAACTATTAATATATATATTATTTTAAGTATTTTATATTTCTAAATCTCTATATAGATTATAAACGCTCTTATTATTACTATCCCTCTAAATCTTATAATTAATAACTTTATATAGATTATTATAAGTAATAAGAAGTATATATTTAAAATATAGCTATTATAAAAATAAAAATAAGGTTAATTTAGCTAAATTTAAGATTATAATACCTTTTTTATTAAGGTTATTTAGAACTATACTAAGAAGTCTTTCTAAAGTTATAATTAATATAACTTAAAAAATAGCTTAAAAGTTTTTAATATTACTATTATATTTACTTCTATAGAGTACTTACTTTAATATAATTATTTTAGCTTTTTCTCTATATTAATTATACTTTAATAATATTAAAGTATTTATAATATATATAAAATCTCTCTTTACTTAAATAAAAACTCTAATAATATTACTCTTTTATTATTAATATATATATTAACCCCTCTATTACTAAAAAAGCTTTAGTTTAGTAATTTAAATATCTTAAAAGCTAAAATAATAACTCTATATAATCTCTATATAGCTATTATTATCTCTATTAATCTCTTTTTCTCTTACTTTAAGAATACTTACCTCTAATAAGTATTATAATACTATAGTATAGAGATTACTAATAAAGTATTATAGAAGTATATATTTATTTATAACTATTTAGATAATATCTATTAATATAGAGAAAAGCTATTAATAGTAGAACTTCACTTAGTAACTTTAAAAATCTATTTATTATTTAATTTATAGTTATCTTTAAATATTTATACTTTTATAGCTATTACTTATTATTTTATTAATAAATATAAAGCTTTATAATCTTATTTTCTAGTTTTCTATTAATATTATAGTAATTATAGTAGTATTACTTTCTTAGAGACCCTTATTAACGTTATTAATTAGTATTAGATTTAAGATTAAATTAAAGTAGTAATTTCTAATAATATTATAATTAATAATAGCTATCTCTAAGCTTTCTATTAAAACTTTAACTTAGAGATAATAGAGATAGATATAAAAGCTTAATATATATAATACTATAGCTATATCCTTAATCTTATAGTTTAAGTATTCTTCTTTAGTGCTAATAAGGGGACTTTTAAAGCTAAGTTAGATTACTACTAGTTAATAGACTAATATAAAGAGGATCTTAAGCTTTAATAGAAGATTAGCTTTATTAGTTAGTTTTATAATATTATTAAGTTTATCTAATTATTACTATAATACTATAAATAATACTAAAAAGTTTTAGTAGATATTAATAAAAACTCTAAAAACTTCTAAATTTTCTTAAAATTATACTAAGAAGCTTTTTTTATTTTAAATAATAATACTTAATAAAATAGTATATATCTTATAATTTAGAAAGCTATAGAGAAAAAAATAGAGATCTAAAACTTTATATTATTAAATAATAATAATATAAATATTAAATAATATATTTTAAAAGTAGACCTTCTCTTTTTAGATAACTAAAAAGTACTAACTAAAATAAATATAATTTTAAAGCTTTTCTACTATTAAATAAAGAGATATAAAGGATAAAGTATTAATAATAGTTATAATTAACTTTAAGAAGTTATAATAAGTACTAAATATTTTCTTTTTTATCTACTAAACTAAAAGATATATTATAAAGCTATAATCTCTCTATTTACTAATAATAATCTTAAAAATTATTTATAATAATTATAGTTATATTTAAGCTAAAGTTATTACTACTAATTTTATATATAAACCCTTCCTACCTATATTTATAAAAATTAAGTATTATTAGCCTTATAATTAGCTTTATAATTTAATTTACTTAATAAGAAATAGTAAATTTTCTTTTATAGTAATATTAAATAAACTTAATAGAAGTTATAAGAATATTATAAGTTAATAAGAAACTTACTACTCTTTTTTATAATAATTATTCTATATCTATTATTTAGTATATTATACTTATATAATATTTAGTAAAAAGATTACTAAAAAAAGTAAATTAATAATACTCTAAGTAGTTTTATAAACTACTTTAATAAGTAGTATTATAAAGAATAGCTAAAGGATATATTAGCTAAATTAGAAGTAATACTAATATAATATCTTATTAATCTTAAAGTTTAAAGTAATAATAATATTTACTTCTAATAATAAGTTAATAGCTAATACTACTAAACGCTACTTTAGATTAATAAGTTTAATATCTTCTTTTAAAAGCTTCTAAAAGTTATTAATAACTTTATTATATAATAACTATAGTAGTTAGAGATATTCTTAGTACTTTATTAGCTTATTATTAATATTTTTACTATACTAGTAATATCTACTAACTATAAGAAAGCTTTTAGCTAAGCTAAATTAACCCTCACTTTATAGAAGTTTATAATAAGCCTTAATACTATAAAAAGTCTCTAACTAATAAAAAACTAACTAAAGAGGGGGGTTATACTACTTAGTAATAACTTTAAGTTATTAAGATTATTATGAATTTTTTTATATAGCTATAACGTATTTTTATATAGCAATTAATTTATTTTAATTACAATTAGTCTAATTAATCAAAAATACTAAAAAAAGTAGCTAATTCAGTAAGTCGGGGGGTCAAAATTGACTTAATTGCACTTGCGGAGACGCTGATTCGAAGAGGTGTTAAAGTCTACTACTGCATCAACGCACCCAACAGCAGCGGAAGTCTTGATCTTGTTGACATCAATCACGCCCTCAAGCAGATGGACACTGCGTGCCCTCCGTACACTGCTGGTTACTTCCGGTGGGACGGATCCGTGGAGATCTTTGGCAAGGCAGCAGAGAATGTTCCCATTTGCCGAGGTTAAGACTCAAAAGGCGATTCAGGAGGCTTAGTTTTGTTTGAGTTGTTGAACATTGCGACGAAAATGGCGAAGGGGTTTCAGTTCTTGTCTGTCGCTCCTGATGTTATGAATCTGGTCGGATTGGCCGTGGTTAGAGGAGATTGTTGAAGCAGCTGCTTCTTTACGTAAACGCAGTCGCTACCTACATACATATAAAACTAAGATTTGACGTCAAATCATCTATATCTTCTAATCTTGCGTCTTCCTTATGATCAATACAAAAGCGAGGGAGACAACTTATGCTCGCTTAAGTGGGAGCAATTCACGGGGCGCATTATCTTGGCTGGTCAAGATAACGTTCTGTGCTAAACTCCAACATGCCGGGGACCACGATGGACACCTACTATCTAATAGAACCCCCGTTTAATCTATATCGAGAGAAGCCAAGTTCTAGCCTCAACACTTGGACTTTGGCTTGCATCGTGCATTTACTTTTGCTGTCCGGGCGGAATATCCAGACCTGTCACAACGGGGACTGATCCCGGTCGTATCCATTGTTCTTTTGGTCATGGTGTCCAATAATCCTTCTGAATTGCTGAATTGCTGAGTTTTAGAGGATTCAGGTCCGACTCAACGTCTATAAGTAATACCCAGGAAAGAAACTTGTATCACGCACTATGGGACACAACTAAGGAACAATTGCCATGACACATCGTGAGCTACATCTATCAAGAGTTCGCAGAAAATAGGTTGCAAATTAATCTTAACCCAGAAAACGGTCGCATGCTAGCTTCCAGGCACTGCGTTACAGCATGAACTAGGAGACCGACTCGACTTGCCTTAGAAAGAAAGGTTTGAAGCTAGGTAATTGTCCGCCATTCTGACTCCTCTAAGTCGATTCATGTGTTGCTAGCATCGAAAAACAATCTTTTCAATGATAAAAGTCAGGCCTCTCGGCATGCTGGGCAGAATATTGCGCTTCCTTTTCGGACCGAGGCTCCCATTCTTTGTGACGGGTAAGCATATGCGGCCATATGGCTGACATACAGGCTGTCTCCGGTGTCGTGTTTCAAAGCCAATTAATCTCAGAGCAGCAGTGTCATTGATACGTGTCCACGTCGGATTACATAAGGATTTGAAGGGCAGTGTCGAATTTGAGGTGTCTGATTGTGTGGTGATGATGGACAAGTATTGAGTCTTTCGACATGAGTGGCTCAATTTGTGTACAAAACCAACCGGCCGAGCCAACTGCCGATTGACGTTATGCAGAGGTTGTGCACGGGACAGCTGCTTGCATCGAGTCGTCTAAGCGAACTCGCCAAGGGGCTGACGATGCATCTAAGCAGGATAACAAGCCTCGGGGTCCTGATTCCCGTCCGTTTGCCTGGGATCGCCCCATTTTTGTCGGGTTGTCGGTGGGCGAACTCTCCGTCCCGTCTGGAACTGTTCGCTTCAGTGGCTTCAGTGGGTGACACCGTGGTCGGACCAGGCTGCAGCGCCAAGCATGGCTCACGATGAATCATCCGCGCTAGCAAGGGCTAATGCATGTTTTGGTTGAGAATGACTAGGATCATCCCAGCCATGGCGTTGTGCAAGAGCCTGTCATCCTCCACTCGAAGAAGGGTCCGGAATGGGCTGCCGACTGGGAGAATGAGGGGTGACATGTCGCTGACAGACGCTTCTTTTTGTATGTTGCTGTGATGGAATGACGATGGATGAGCCATTGAGCATCACATTGAGCCATTATGTTGACGTTGGACATCACCACCCAAAAGTGGTGGTTTCGTATATCGTGCCGCATATCGGTGTCCGCGGGAAAGGTTTCGTGAGCGATTGTCGCTTACCGGCGTAATTCAGCATGCTGAATGAGCCATCTTGGGTCATGTTGAACCACCAAGGAAAGAAGATCGCGAAATCATAGAGAGGTAGATTTAAATAGCCTCCATCATCGTAGAGTCTGTTTGCAATGAAGAAATGAGTTCAAGTTAACTCCAGCACTAACGACAAGAAGCCATGAGAAGTGCATGGTACATCACAATGATCAAGAGATAGGCAAGTTGACAATTAACCAAACATTCCATTCATTAGCTGCTACATGATGACAACACCGGAAGATGACTGAACACAAAACTCTCTCGCACCTTGTGGTGCGAGTCCATGGGTCCATTTCCAGCCGACATCGTCTGACAAACACCAGCGCTTCCCTCATATAACTCATTCCCACGGAGGCGAAAAGACAAAAAGGCTGACCATCCAGCTACGGCTTAGTTTCCTTGCGCATGACGCTCCTAAGAGCCTCGGTCTCTGCCTCCTGACGCGCGAGACGAAGACGGAGTTCGTCGCGTTCGCGCGTCATGTCCTCCAACATCTTCTCGAGGTCCGAGATGCGATCAACCTTTTTCTGGCGGTACTTGCGGGCGGCGATGGTGTTTCGCTGCCGACGCAGGATCTTGTCGGTGTGGGGGGTCGATATCTCTTGACCTTGGCCGTCAGAGTTGGGCGAGGAACGGTGAGATGATGGGGCCCCCGGCGCAGCAGTGTATACTGACATGTCCAGGGGTGGAGGCTGATTCGGACTGTTGTTGTTCGAGCTGTCACTGGAGCCGAAGAGAGGATCCAGGTGAGGAGGAAGGAGGCTATCCGGGAAGGTGTCGAAGAGGGTTGGTGGTGTAGTGTCAATGTAGGGGAATGCTACATATATGTTTAGCTTGAGGCCAATCGAAGGAGTCACAGAATGAGTCAACTCACATTGGTCAATTGAGCTGTCGAGGGGACTGGCACTGACGTGAGGCGTCGCAGTAGCGGAAGACGTCCACGGCAGAGTGTCCCAAGGTGTCGGATCAAGAAAACAGGTAAGGCTCGGATCGGTGTGGACGGATTCAGGTCCGAAGAGCCCAAAATCCGCACCCGGGAGACCAGCGGTCGACAACGGTTGTTGTGGTTGATACTGAAGATCGTGAATGAAGCCGGTCTCGCCGGGGAGATTGCAATTATCCGCTGCCCATGGCAGACTGTTGGTGAGGTTGCCACCAGAATCTGGCGATCTGGCGGCAGGCGGCCGATGCTGATGCTGCGGCGGCCGGCATTGTTGCAGAGTGTAGGGGCCCCGTTAACTAGGGGCCAGAAGTTGGCGTTTGAAAAACGGAGGGAGTTGAGGGTCTCGACTTGCGAGATAGGTTGATTGTCCTGAGGAAGGAAGAGGAAATCGAGGAAAGACGAGCGCGGGGATGGGAATTATTAATGGAACTTTGGCTTCAGCGGTAAACCAGTGATCGGCGGGGAACTGTTATCATCCTTGCGGGTTTACGGCGGCCGCATTTCTGCTGACTGCAGCATACAACGCTAAACTCTTGTTGGCTAATGAGAGTACGGAAGTACATGGCGCAGTTTGTCTGACCTGTGGCAGTACTTTGTTAGAGGCGGACGGACTTTTTCGAGTCATGTGGAGTTCATCTTGCAGTTAAGAGAGTTGAATTCTCATTCTAACCCAGTTCAGCCACATCTGGCATAAAGTATGCATCAAGACCCTTTGATCGTTCAAGCCGAGATTGATCCCTGCGCCCAATGATCACTGCTCGAAATACTGCCTACGCGACCTCCAGGTCAGGAAAAAGAGCTGACAGGTTCACTCTTGCCTTGATGACAAACGTGTTTGCTTCATCCATCGACTCTGTGCCTCATTGAGAGCATCCCCTTTTGCCAGAAACAAGCAGCTGAGCATACTACGAATTTGATAGCGCCCTACACATCAACGGCGGATCTCGACCAAATCAGCCCACTTCCAGGAGACGCTGCAGAGCCCGTAAATCTACCTAAACCGGCACGCCCTCTGACGTTGCTCCTTCAGAGACCCCTTGCCAAGTGCTCATCTGCGGCTCACCTTTTGCATGGGTCGGGCCCAACGCGGAGACATAGCGACCGACCGACCGGAAATCTTTCCCATCCCTCTCATTTGAGTTACCCTCGGACAATCCCACCATCAGATGGATCCAGCACATCTTGCAGATACGGCGTCGACATCGCCGAGAAGCGCTGCCAGCCAGGCCGGCTCACTCGAAAGCGATAACAACAGCAACGGTAGACTATCTGTCGCTCACCGCCCCAGACACACCCGCACCAGCACGCCTAAAGTGAGGACAGGCTGTGTGACCTGTGAGTACCAAAAGCCCCGCTCGCGTATGCTGCACTCCGCTCACCCTCAGCAGGCAAGTGAGTTTTACAAGACGCCTAAGTGGCCGATCCTAGGCTGTTATCTAACATTAACCCTTCTAGAAAACGGCACATCAAATGCGATGAGGCAAAGCCACATTGCATGAACTGCCTGAAAACCCGTGGCGTATGCGATGGGTATGTCGTCAAGCCACGGAAGGCGAGGGGCAGGGCCGCCGCTCAACCGCAACGACTCAACCCTCCGTCACCATGTCGCGCCAACCAGCGTGTGCTACCAAGAGAACCGGACATGAACTCTCTGGACTTTGAGAACGACAGAGACAGCGTTTACTTTGAAGACTGGAACGACCTTGTTCAGGTTTCCCTCGGCGGTGCGCCGTTCTCCCGTACCAAGCTCTGGAATGAGATGATGCCGCAACTCAGCAGGCAGAACCCGGCGCTACGACATGCGGCCATCAGTATCGGCGCCATGAGCAGGGCGCTGTCACAGAAAGGGAACTACGTCGTCGCGAGGAACTTCAACAACATCGCCGACCTTCTTCAGAGCCAGCACTACCAGAGCGCCATCGTTCATTACTGCCAAGCTCTTCGACTGCAAGCCCACGCCGACTTTCAGACAGCAAGCATTCAGGAGGCAGTCCTACTATCCATATTGTTCGTTTCGTTCGAGGCCCTCCGCGGAAACCGGCACTCGGCGCTGCAGCACGTGAGATATGGTTTCGTGCTATTACAGGAACTGCTCATGAGCGAGGATGCGGACGCGCGTATCTGGAATCTCGCCCCAGACCCGCGACAACTCATCACTGAGGTCTTGGACCTGTACAACCACCTCGACGTACAGAGTCGCACCGTGCTAGCCGGCAACGTAAAGACCAGTCGCTCACCAGCCTATGAGCTCATTAGAGGCCTCAAGGCCCGCGGTCACACTATTGAGACGTACAACATGCAGATCCAACGCTACACAGACCCAGGGGAAGGCAGGAAAAATATGCCAGAGATCTTCTACGATGCCGAACAGGCGTACACCTGGTGGCAGGTGTGTCAGCGGCGAATCGCGAAACTCGGTCCGTTATTGCTCAGCGTCATCGACGATCTCAAGTTAGATGAGATAACAGACGAGAAGGGAATTGACGAACTCCTTGTGATCATGCAAGACCGCCCGGAGCTGCTTGCATATTGCGAGAAGTCCATGGGGCACTTGCAACAATGGCGAGCATCTTTCGAGCCTCTTTACAACAGGACTCTATCAGACAGTTCCATCAGTCGGAGAGAGTATCTCAAGATCTTGCATCTGCGGATGCACTACTTGATCATGTTTATCTACAGCTTCTTCCCCAAGTATGCAGATGAGGCGACCATCTCCAGCATGACACCGTACTGTCGGGAGATCAACGAAGTTATCGAGATATTGCTGCGCGAACAAGAGAAGGATATCAAGTCGCCGGCGAACCTCTTCTCTATGGAGTTTGGTATCGCATGGCAACTCACCATTGTCGCCATGACCTGCCGCGATCCACTGGTAAGAGAGAGCGCGACACGGATTCTCGAAAAGTACCCCAGGCGGGAAGGATTATGGGATAGCCAAGCTTTCCTTGCCGTTCTTCTCAAGAATCGTGACCTTGAAAGAGACAATGCCAAGGAAGGCACGGCAGCGGAGCAATGGAGACGCCTATGCAGACGCGAGTTCATATTTGAGGATGCAGGGGAAACCATCATTTTCCGTTCGTTGAAGAAGAACCACACCACTGGCGAATGGGACCTGGTGGAAGAGACGGCCGATTTCAGAGGTGAGGTGGAGGGTTTGGTATGGAAAGAGAGGCCTTTAAGCGGGCAGGGTTTTATCATGACCGGTATGAATTGATCGGCGCAGTAGCCATGTTGGGCTTTGGAAGTGAGACATACTAATGTTCTCACAATAGTGGCAGGAGATCCGGTGAAGGAACCAACCTCGCTCTGCCATTTGTAGGCAATGTTCTGTTTTCAATCGATACCCAAATTTCTTTGGTCAACGGGACTGTGGGACTTGGTACAGTTGTGCTGAGCTGTCTTCTAACATGATGCGAGCGATGAGACTGGCTCCGGCCAGAGTCAAGTGCCTTTTAACACATCTCATTCGCGTCTTGGCATCGGGAATATCCACAGTCGACAGAGACTAACGTAACATGGTCTGTGATATGTTCCTTTCCATGCCTTCCTAATCACCTCCTTGAGAACCAAGACGGATTGGTGGGACGGTTGACCTGGAGATGTTCGCCTTCCATCTTCAGTCTTGTAGAGGCAGACATGGTTTGATCTCCATTATCGAAGTTTGCCAACGATCCGGAGGTGACCAGCGGCGCATATCCATCGAATCCATGGCGAAAGCTTCCGTGAGGAACAGCGGCCGCTTTGCTTTCTTGCCTGTCATGCTGCTCGCAGGGCGTGCCTTGATTGACATGAAAGTTGGTATCGTGTTGAAAGTCCTTCTCATTATGGAAGAGGACGGTGATTGCAATAGACATTCCGATGACTTAGCGGGGCTCGTGAACGATACGGCGCGGATTCGTTTGCCTTGAAGTTGCAGAAACTTGGGCAGGATTTAGTATGATGAAGGGGAGTGCCAAGAAAAAGAAGTCGGCAAGGGAGGGGAGCGATACGTGCCCAATATGGATTGCTGTTCAGGAGCAACCATCCCCATCCTCAGACGTAATCACTGAAATATGTACGTTCTGAAAACTATGACGCAGAAGACTGACGAAATCGCATCCCAGGTTCAGCTTCCAAGGTTCTCGGCCTTGATTGCCGTAGTTCTGCATGTCGCGAGTAAGTCTGCTGTCGCGTGTTGGAGCCGACTCCATCGCTCTTTATTTGCGAAAGCGAGCGCTGGTACCAGTTCTCAGTCTAAAACTGCTGGTTCCTGGCCGTGGGATCCCACCGCGCGCTTCTTCACCGACTTACTCAAGACTTAAAATTGAGCAGGACTAAAGACATGGCGATTCTTTCAAGAAGAATCACTCAAGTTGTATTCAGTGAATAAACAGGCGCGGGAGTTGACAAACAGGCAGCGAAGATCCCACGTTCATTTACAACTGCATCTCAAGATTCGTCGCACTGGCCGCTGCTCTCAAATGGAAATCCACATAATAGAGTTTGAACAACGGAACGCTAACCCAATGCGGCAATCTCATGCCCAATGAGGTTGCTTCACACTCGAAGTCAAGTTCGTGTTGGCCTGACTCAAAATGCCTCTGCTTGTTGCGCGGAGTTTTTCCCTTCATTTGGAATTAGGAGACGGAAGTAATCGAAGTTCCGGAGACATCAGAGGAAGACTCATTCCTAATAGTTGTCGAAATTCCCGTGGCTCTTCGGCATTCAGTCTCCTCGAGGAAAATCACGCTTAGCTAGTCGAGATGGTGTTCCACGGTCGACCGTCGCCGGCCTGCTTCCCCTGCAGGTCCAGAAAGCTAAGGGTACGCTCCCCATACCACCGTAAAGAAACATTGAAAAAGATGACAATCAATCTGGAAGTTTGAGCTCATACTGACATTGGCGATTTTTCAGTGCGATCTTCGACTAGAAGCTTGCGGCCAATGCCGTAGAGCTAAGATAACCTGTCACGGCTATCGGGATCCCAACGCTTTGCAGTTTCGGGACGAGTCTCGGTCGGTGGAGCGGAAAGTAGTCACCCAAAGAGACTACGCAGTTATTCCAGGGGTACAAGGCCAGCCGACTGGTCTCGAACTGGGCTGGGACACCCGAGCTCGCTACGCTTTCTTCTCGACCTACATTGGCGGGTTCACGCGCAGCATGGGGGAAGTAACCCACCATTACAGGACGGCCACAGCATGCGATCACCTCTCTGCGAGCGTCGAAGCTGCCAGCTTGGCATATATGGGCACGCAGCTAGGCAGTGCGCATCTGATCGCGCTCGCCAATTCCAGTTACGTCAAAGCAATCCAGAGGCTTAGCCGGTCTTTGAATGATCTTAGCTCCGAAGGAGCTGAGGAAGCTCTTCAATCGGTTCTTCTACTAGACATGTACGAAAAAATGGTCCATCGCGATCCCCAAAACTCCCAGGCCTGGAAGAGTCACTCTCAGGGGGGTCTGACCCTCCTACACTCCCGCGCAACAACCATCCTATCCAGCCCGACTGGACGTCAGGTTGCCGCCCGACTAGTGACTGCTGTCATAGTTACCTGCGCAACAGTCGGTATCAACACGCCTAAAGAGCTGGCTACAGTGCGCCGCAACATTGGCTATCATGTTAACAGTCCCAAGTGGAGCTTTCTAGGCATTCTGAATCGCGTCTCAAACTTACACTTCGATTTCAAAGCGGGAAGAATATCAGAACGCAACTTCGTCATCCGAGCTAAGAGTCTGGACGATCAACTGGCTACATTGGAAGCGACAGTGCCATCGACATGGCGGCCCCTCTTGATACCAGTCACCGGGGGTAATCCTCATGTTCTCGGCACATATTATCATCTCTACCCGGACCACTACACCACGCAAGTCACCAATGCGCTTCGAACAATGAGGCTTATTCTATACATCATAGTAAAGCGTTACACTGCGGATGGCAGCTATACTCAAGACAGTGCCTTCAAGAAGACGATTCGAGACATTGTACATCACATTTGCGCGTCCGTACCACAATTCACGTTGCCAAGGGTGTGCGAGACGAACACCCTTCCCTTCTCGCCCGTGCAACAGCTTCAGTGTCGCACATTCCTCGCCCCGTTATATCTTGTCCACCAAGTGTCGGAAGATGATTCGGTGAAGCAGTGGGTGAAGAACTGCCTCGCAAACATGTGGCAGTCCGGAGGTTTGAAGACGGCGAAAGACATTGCCGAGGTCATGGACACGGAACCAAATTTGGACTATTGGTCAGTCTTTGCAACGACAGGAAGCTACGCATTTGCAGCATAACAAAAGAGACTTGTTCTAATCTAAATGGAGCTCTACATTGAGCTACCGATGTTGCTTCAACCCTCCAAGTCCATCAGAGACTTCACGGAATCCACCACAGTCTTCTCATATACTGTCCACTTCATTCCCAGAATTTCCTCGGCTCTGGAAGTGTTGTAGCCAAACGACTTGAGGTTCGGGTTTGGTGCTCCTCCCATCGCATCCAGCCCAGGCAACTTCTCCCGCAAGTCTGGGAACTTGTCCCACACAATCTTGCCCATTTCAGCGTTACTGTAGAAGCCGCTGGTAACAAAGAAACGCTTTCCAGCTGCTTGGTTGGTCTCCATGGCCTTGACATGAGCCAATGCCACATCGCGAACATCGACCCAGAGAGGCAGTGCCGTAGGCGGGATTCCGCCCTTGTGCTTGCCAGTAATCACCTCTGCCAGGAGCTGGTTTGAAGTGTTGACCTCAGCAAGAGTCGTCGGCGGTAGTCTGACTGGGCCGTAAATCATTGGCGGGTTGATCGTGGAGAGTGTGAAATTGGGTTTCTCGTTGGCGACGAAATCCCAGGCGGCCTTCTCTGCAGACTTTTTGGATACGACGTAGGCACTAACGGGGCTGATGTACGCGTCTTCAATGGTCAAAGGGCTCCAATCCTCTTCTGAGTATGTCTTCTCCGCCCCCGAGGCGGCAAGGCCTGGGTTGAGAATAGCCGCAAAGGAGGACGTAACCACAACGCGCTTCACGTCTGGGCAGGATTCTTTGATCGCATGCAGAACTCCAGTCGTGCCCAATACCGCAGGGTCAATCAGATCCTTCTTCGGGTCGGTGACGTTGTAATGGAACTGAATCTGATGAGCAACGAGGGGAATTGAGGCTGTCTAGGTTTCGTCAAGCTTACCGGACTAGCCACATGAAGCACAGCTTCCAGACTGTGGGTGCTGAGAGCGGAAAAGGCTCCTTTGGCTGCAATGTCGGGGACGACGATGGTTTCGAGCTTGCTTTTGGGGACGTCTTTGAAAGATCCATGAATAGCCATAGCCTTCTCTTGCGATCGAGCTGTCGTCAGGACGGAGTGTCCGCGTTGAAGGAGGACATTGATCACATGGCCGGCGACGAAACCCGTTCCGCCTGATCGGTAGAATCAACCTGTTAGCTTTTTCTCGCTGGAGTGTATCCTGACGTTCACGGTACCTGTAACAAGGACTTTGGTCATCTTTAGATTGACGGAAAGACCGTGCCGACTGGTTAAGAAGTTGGGACGATCTGTAAAAAATAGCGGGCAGATGAGACGATCACAAATAGACAGGATTTTATGTCTGTCTTGCGGGCTTACGGATGATTTACTAATTCTTTTACATCCTTTAAGGTTGGAAGACACCATCAAAGCTGTGACCATCTTGCCGGCTGTTCATGCGGCTGGGGCGGTATCCGCACCCAAGATTGGCAGAAGATTGACCGCTCTGTACGTGTCATGAAATCAGACGATCTGACCCTGAGGAAAGCGTAAATTAACCATACAATGAAGAGAGCCATATACCAAGATCAATTACGTCGATGGGACCCGTGGAGATGGATGTGACCAAAAGGTTGTCGCCCGGCTCCGAACTGAGCAGAAGAAGTATGGAGAACGTAACGCTAGCCATATGGAGTTTGATAACCAAGATAGTCGGATGCGAGGCAAGGATCTGTGTTCCCACAACGCAGATGAGGTGCCCACCGGCGGCTCCGAATCATCGGTGACAGAAAGCTTAACTCCTGTAAGGCCGATCGGAACCTACTGTCAGCCTTACTTCTACAATACAAACGATACCGAGTTTCACTTTCAGGTCCAATAGCTCCAGAGTTTGACCGAGCCTACTGACTAACGGTTGTTGGGCGACGATGGGGGCTGCCTCACATATAAGGGCGCCATCCATTCGACGGAGCTTGCCACAGCGTACAAACTTTCGACAACTCCGATTACACATAATTCGCCGCTTCTGTTGGTTACGCGTTGCATCTGCTCTAATTCATCCTTATCAAAATTGTTTTCGCAATGGCAAAGTACGCGAGAGATGCACCCGAAGGGTTCCGTAATTCGATTGAAAATGTTGCGGTTGTTGGTGTAAGTTCGTGGTTGACTCTAGCGACCATTGGGCTTTGGATACTAACATCTTTCGAGGCAGGGGGGCAAATAGGCAGAGCTATTGCAGTGCAACTTCTGAAAACAGGAAAGCACCGAGTCACAGCTATCACGCGCAGCGGGAGCAGCAACTCGCTGCCCGAAGGTTTAGAGAAGACATTTGTTGACTACAACAACGAGGAATCTCTAATCGGCGCTCTGAAAGGCCAGGATTTCTTGGTCATTACCCTTTCCCTCAGCGCGGCGCCGGGAACCCACAGCGCCTTGGTTAGGGCAGCGGCAAAGGCAGGAGTGAGGTACGTGATGCCGAACGCCTACAGCATCAATTTCGCAACCAGCGAGAATCTCCGACGAGACATCCCTGTTGGGAACACGGTCCTCGCAAACATCGCCGAGATCCACCAGGCCGGCATGACATCGATCACGTTGATGAACGGATTCTGGTACGAGTACAGCCTCATTGCCGGTCCTGCAACCTTTGGATTCGATCTCGACAACCGCATCATCACGTTTTACGACGACGGCAAGAAGGCCATCAATACGTCAACTTGGGTTCAGTGCGGACGCGCAGTTGCTTCACTTCTCAGTTTGAAAGTACTCCCTGAAGACGAAGATGACAAGTCGACGACGATTTCCGAGTTCCACAACAGTACTCTCTTCGTTTCAAGCTTTAAAATCAGCCAGAGAGAGATGTTCGACAGTGTGAAGCGAGTTACGGGCACGGCGGACGACGACTGGAGGATCTACTTCGAACCAACCGAGGCGCGCTACAAGGCTGGCATGGAAGACATGGAGAGGGGGAAGCCGGAGGGCTTCTACAGATCGATGTATGCTCGGGTCTTCTTTCCCAGCGGAGACGCAGACTTCGAGTCTGACGGCGATCGCCTGGGGCTCCCGGCTGAAGACTTGGACGAGAGCACGCGCTACGCCCTGTCGCTGAGAAGTTCGTCTTAGAGCAGCCTACAAACAAACAACAACAGCCAGAAGCACTGATCAAAAGAGGAAAAATGCGTATAGCATCATAAAGCAAGTTTCAGCCTGCCAATTGACAATTCTCGTGCTACTCTATTCCCGCAACATCCTCTGGTGTATGCATCTCCTTCATCTGCTTGACTCCATCCACCGGACGAAGCCAACTCGCCCGAGTGTCAATGAACTGCTCCACCTGCGGCTTCAACTTCTTTTCAACCAAGCTGAAGTCATCGACAGTGCCGAGACGAAGGATACTCATTCCCGGCAAACCCGAAGAGACACGGTACAAGAGGGTTCCACAGTTTCCGCAGAAGTGGTTGGCCATATCGTTACCCGTGGCAATGGTCTTGGACTGGGTAAAAGACTTCAGGGTTTCCTTGCCTCGAAGGTGGCGTAGGTGGGTGTCGGCAACTGTAAAGTTGGAGCAGAACATCGATGAACTTATTTTGCGACAGTCGGCGCAGTGGCAGAGGAATCTACTGATGAGGCCTGGCCCATGTGTTGGCTGTGGCAGTAGGTCAGTCAGGATTTCAAGCTAAATTGCAAGCCGCTGTTAGGACTTACGAAGGCGAGCTGGACGGCACCACAAAGACATGTGGCTGTTGCCTCATCCTCGGTGGACCAACCATCAGTAGCGACACCGGCCAATGGGAAGAAACCTTTGTTGTAATCTTGAGTGGTCGCCATGTCTGGTGATTGTGTTGTAAGTGGGGCGGGGTTTGGATGTTGTGTTGCTGTTGCTAGAGCTGTTGCTGGCTGAGCTTTTCGACAATAGCACGCGAGAAAGGCAGGTTCAAATACTTTTCAAGTCTCTTCATGGGCAAATACGAGCGGCAAGAAGACGATCGCCAAGGCCCGGATACTGGTAATCATGCCATGATATGCCGCTGACATAACCTCTTTTGGTGTTGGCCGACCCGATGTTGCAACATCCAGATTGGGGCTTTATTCCAATTTGGTGGAGATAGCAGCGGTTTGCACATGGCGGATTGAGAGATAGAATCGACCAGCTAAACTTCAGTGCTGATTCGTAAGCTGGCCGATTTGTGATTGGTCAATTATGGGATGCCTCCTCTTGAGACGACCTTAACTTTGAAGCATTGACTGCATCTGCGTCTTAAACCCGACAGAGGTCAAGGGCAGATGCTTGCCAGAAATGCGGATGACGTGAGTGACTCACGGCGAGTCGACTTGCAGTGCTGACAAACAACAGCTGAGACCCCTGGGCGACTGCGGAGAGAAAACCAGCCGACGTGCACAAGCTTAGAAGTACGATGAGATGACAAACACCAGACGGTTAGGAGGCTCTATTCTCTGCAAGCACCTTGCATTACAAGATTATCCAAGCATGTTATTTGCAATCTTCGAATCCACTACACTCGGTTGAGGTGCAGCTCCATTCTGCACCGATGCTTGTTCGCGCTTCTTCGGCAACAAATGCTCAGGACACGGTCGATGACCCTTGGAGGGCATGTTCCCAGGGGGAATGTCGCCAACGACAATTCCCTGGTTCTGCGGGGCGTTTGTAGCTATTTCATCAATCAGAAATTGTCGGGAACAGAAATGAGTTCGACAACACTGCAAGGAGAAGGTGCTACACATACCAACGCTGTTTACTGTATACATCGCGAACTTGTCAAGTCCTCGTCCCACGGAACTGAACTAATGGCCGTCAGCACAACGTTCGCTATGCTGTTTTCAAGGGCATCAAGTCATACAAAACCCATGATGGTCTTCTGTCGATCTTTCCCTTGATTAGAAACTATGGTCTGCTTGGAATTCAGGTGGAAGATCGTTGAAGTGGTTTTAAGCTTAATTCAGCTCTTTTATCCACTGTCGGAACATCGCCTCCAGGGTCCGCCTTGCAAGCAAGAAAGAGGCGTCAGGCATATATGGGCTGTGCTTATGGGCAGGCGCTTCGAAAAGAAGGCCATGTGATGTCATGTACGCCAATGCCTTGCGCCCGGCTTGTGAGAAGTGAGGTTTCCCCACCAATCCGAGCAGGTCTCTTTGGCGGCCATTGTGGGAGTTAGGCGTCTTTGAGACTGCTGCGCCGCTGCGAGGCCTGGTCATCCACCACATTAGGGGTCTAGTCTGTCTTGGCAAGAGGACATAAGGTGTTTATTGATTCAGAGATCCTGAGACGAGTGGAGGGGACACTTTCATCCACGATATGTTGCTCTCTTGGATTGAAGACGAGATCATTCTATTCTTCTTGCCTTGGAGACTTGAGACCAGCACTTCCATTCCAAAGAAGTTCATGGAGATGCGAAAACCTGCACACCAATGGATTGGGGCGTATTGGGTAACCTGAGTACCGCTCTACTTAAGTCGTAAAGCTATTTACATTGCATGCGTCAGTCAACGACTGCGGGTATCTACGTTCCTATCCAACTTGATTTCTCTGGCCATAAGTGGCGCCCAAGCGAGATCATTTTAAACATCCTTGTTCTGGCTTTCTCCGCAGTACCTCGATCACCGCGTGACCCCTTATTTGAAGTCGCCGTCACCATTGCAACGCGACAGAGGAATGGCCTTCTGCTGCTTGGCACAAACGGTGATGGCTCCAGCGACCCACTTCACACCCTCATAGGACCCTTCCTCGTACGAATCAGCGATCCACGTGCCCGTTTGCTTCAGAGAGCCCGGGCATCCCTGAAAGGTACGTCCGGACCGGCGGTTCACCCAGGGACGGGTAATGACAGTACCGGTCCAACCATCCTCAATGGTGCCGCGCACCGTCGTGGTAGCCGTTGTCGTCCACGTGCGGGTGTAGTCAACGCCAAAGCTTGCACCCAGACGGTCCTTGATAGCCTTGATGTCAATACCAGCGCTGCCAGATACACTGTTTGCGACTGAGTACGAAGAGGCGACGGAAACATCAATGCCCTTGCCGAAGCCAATAACGACGGGAGCCATTTGCACATCCCAGTTGACGAAACGCTCCGTCTTGTCGGTTGTGATGGAAAAGGTGTTTGAGCAGTCACGAGTGTGAAGGTTGGAGTCGGAGGTCTCGTTGAATGGAGTCGGTGCAAGATGGTTGGCGCTGTCAAGCCATTCTTGGGGGAACTTGGGGGTCTCCGGGTTGATGCCCTCGCTCTCGAGGAGGGCGAGCCATT